TACTTATTGATAAAGATTATGAAATATAACATCTATCCAGTGGTTCTAACTGTTTAAAGCAATATTTATCAAACTTTTGGACAATAACCCACAGCAAGAAAAACATTTTATTTTGAACCTTATACACAAACATGAACATATACATGTGTGCACATACACACATGCATTACTAAAGTAAGATTAATGAAACAATGCTTACTCTTACTGCATGAGATTCACATTTCTCTATTTTATTCTATTTCATTTAAAAATAGTGGCTATCAACTATTTCACAGTGTATTAAAGAATCACTGCCCACAGGTAGAAAACTACTGGTTTAAAGGGTAGCAAAACAAAAACAAAAACAAAAACAGAACAGAAGATGGTGAAATCCTCTGTTTTGTGCCACTAGAAGGCAAGTGTATATTGTATGCTACTGATATGCTAGAAAGAAGAGGCACTTACTTTACAGCTAAAGAACAATGCTCATAGTAGGAATGACAAAATAATTACTTCTGGTATACTGATTTTGTCACTAGCTTTATTCAATTGTTTAAACCAAACTTATCATCTTTTGTTTTCAGTGCCTATTGCTATATGAGATGGTACCCAATTATATGGTAGCCTGTTTCAATGTTTGTAATTATGTAAGAGTTTCATGCTCTTTTGCAAAATAAATAGCTGTGTCTATTTTATCAAAGATTATTTTACATAAGACATTACACTTATTTATGCTAAAATATAATCACCTCATTACAATATGGAATAATAGTAAAATATATTTCATAAATATGTTTTTTCCCACTGTACAGTGTGGGCTACCTCCTCCTCCTCCTCCTCCTCCTTCTTCTTCTTTCCCTCTTCTTTTTCTTCCTCCTTCTTCCTCATCTACATTCTCTTTTTCTTCCTCTTCTTCTGACTATTTCTCTTCGTTTTCTTCTTCCTCCTCCTTCTTTTTCTTTTCTATTTCCTTTTCTACTTTCTCTATCTCTTTCTCCTTTCTCTTCTTCTGTCTCTCTCTCACGGTCTCTCTCTCATGTTTGTGTTTCTTAAAATTCCAGGACACTGGGATGTTCAGATAAAATTGATGGGATACATAACAATATGGAGGCATTAAGGTTATATAATGTATAGAAAGTATTCAAATGAGCATCATGGGGTCAAAAGGATTATAAGGCATTTTAGAGAGTGGGTGGAGTCAAGCTTAGGTAACTGATTTAGAAAGTGAGTTGTCGTCAAGCTTAGGTAACTGATTCGCCCAAAGATCTATCACTTAACACAGATGTTAGTTCTTCCGAAGTTGCATTGTAATGAGAATGCAACAAAAGGACAAAATGGATTTGAGCTGTAGTTTGAGACATCTTGTTAAAACGTAAAGATATTGCTGTACATCTATTCACGATTGCTTGTATTTTCATTCAGAAGTTTTAGAGGGATACAAATCAAATGAGGGAGGGGTGGGGACAACCATGCAGATGGAAAACAGAATACCTTTTTACACATTTTGATTTTTAAACCATGAATATAAATTATTCAAAAATGTGAATAAAAAGATAAAACACAAAACAAAATAACAACAAGTGAAACAATAACCACCAAAAGAGCTTTCCAACAATGAGGCAGCTGCATAACGTAGGCCAATAGGAAAAATTCAAGATTTGGAAGAAGAGAGACTGTGACCCTGCCTCCACCATTCACAAGCTGTGCAGTGTTAAACACAACAGATAACTTGTCTGATCCTGTTTCCTTATCTGTTAAATGGGAATAATAGTAATTCCTATCATATAGAAACTGTAGTGAATTTCATTTAAGACCAGGTATTTGTAGCACTCATTACATAGAAGATTATGGTAGACAAGATATGGCCACCCCGTAAATGTGTCAACACCCTTATCCCCAGAACCTTTGAATATGATGTTACATGGTGAAAAAGATTTTGCAGATAAAATTGAAGTGATAATTAGCAGACCTTAAAATAGGAAATAATCCTGATAGCCAGCAAAGAAATTAAAACTTCAGTTTTATAACCTCAAGGAAGTGAGTTAGGCCAACAATCTGAGTGAGGAAGTATATTCTCTGTTAGAGCCTCCAGAAGGGAAGGCAGTCCTGCAGAAACCTTGATTTTAGCCCAGTGATCCCTGTGTCAGACTTCTGAATTACAGAACTATAACAAGAATACATTTGTGGCACAGTGATTTGAAGGTAGAGATCCTGTGCCATATATACTTCATTAGTTTTCAGGAGGCATCTGAACAGCTTGGTATTCTAAGGTGAAAACAGGAACCTTTGGCAGAAGTAAAGCAGGCAGAAATGCTTTGGTCTACCACCTTCAATGATGGAACCAGGGCAAAAGACAAATTACGATATTAAAAAACAGGCTAGAGGAAAGCAGCATGACAAATTTGAAATATCCATTCAATAATTAAGCACCTGAATGGCTTGCAGATTGGAATTTAATATTGTATGGAGTGAAATGAGATGGCAACACCGAAAATGTACTCCAACGTTCTATGGAATTCTATCATTGTTTATTCAGTGTTTGCAAGTCAAATACAGGCAATTTTGAGATGCATCACATATGAGTTGATTTCTGGATTAATTACATTCCCAGCCAAAGCAAACACCTAGATAGTTTTCTCTCCATTTGTTTCAAAACATCTTCAGTTCTTTCATATTCCTCTCATCTTTTTCCCCTCTGCATCTCTAATTCCCTGGCCTAGTCTTCTCTAAATACTGTGGTTCTGCATGCCATTCTGGTTTTAGTTGTTAGGTCTAGAAAGAACAGAATCTTAGGATTATAGCTCTTACGGCTGAGAAGGATGGCAGATATCTGGTTCAGGTCTTCATGTTGAAACGTATACTGAAGCCAGGTGAATTTGTTTCAGTGAAGCTGGGGGCTACATTGGTTCTGAATCCCTGAACCTGCTGACCTGCTTGTCCCCTGGGTGACCATCAGGACTCACTTCAACATCTAGATACATATATCACCAAGAACAGAGAAAAACCTACACTGTAGGCTTCATTTGTGTTGAAATTTTGAGTTTTTCCCCAATTATGATGCTGCCAGTTCTTTCTTACCTGGCTGCAACTCAATCTTTGCTATATCTATAGGAAAGTGTAATTTTAACCTACGAAAATACTTACTTATGGTTGCCTTTAAAAAGTAACAGAATAGGCACCTTTTCAGATTCTACTTGAGTAATCTTCATTCTGCTGTCTTTCAGCAGTGAACATTAGAAAAAATTGCCTGATGCAATATAAACAGTTTCACTTAATGCAAAATCTGTTTCTCTTATTTGCTGAGTTGGAAGGAGGCAATTCATTGCATTTTGGTAAAGCAGTAATAAATAGAAAGTTTATCAGAAGAACCTGGGTGCAGTGGAAGCACAAATTCACCTCCTGCTCCCCTCCGTTACAAAAGCACAGAGTCAACATTGTATGGGGTTGATTGAGGTCCTTGAAAAACTACACATACACGCACACACAGATTCTCTGTCTCTCTCTCTCTCTCTCTCTCTCTGTCTCTCTCTCTCTCTCTCTCTCTCTCTCTCTCTCTGTGTGTGTGTATATATATATATATATATATATATATATATATATATATACACACACACATACATACAGTGAAAGTTTATGAAAACAGCATCTTCCAGGGACCAAAATGTGGATTTTTAGGTGACATTCAATTCTTCCTTCAACCTCACAGAGAGAGCTTCAAAGACTCCTTGACCCTGTGGGTTTCATTTATCCCAGACTATATATTTGCCTTGAAACAAACTTCGTACTATGTAATTGTATTAGCATGCCTCCTAAGCAGATTTGAAAGACATGATGAAAGGTATCATGTGGTATCATTTATATTTCTGTTTTTAAAGAGTTTATGGGTAAGGAGACATCATGTAAATCATCAATAAAACATCAAAAAACCTAGGAGACTAACAATAGACAATTATGAATGCTGATATATAAACTTGTCTTTCTTGTTAAATGCCATGAAGATAAATACCAGCAATAAAAAAAACCGGTCTAGGTGTGCCATGTCAATGTAATAATTATTTCTCATTTGAAGCCAAGGGCTAACATGCACAATCTCTAAAAGGAGCATTATTGATTAGTCTGTGTCTCTCCTACTCTTATAATAAACTCGGGTAAAGTTCAGAGATTCTATCTTCCAGGCTGGTTTCCCCACTTCAGGCTTTTCATGAGGGAGTAATAACCTTGCTAAACACTTGACCATCACCAGGTACATGACTGTGATCCAAAGAGCCCAGGATATAATAAGGAAAAAACCCTTCTCTTACTCTCGTTCTAAGAGACCGTGGAGAAAGATCAGCATTTGTGAATTCAGCTCAGTACCTGCATATGTGGGATATGATCATGACCATTTGTCCAAGCCAGCGTGTGTGTAGAGAGGGAGGGAGGTGTCTACTTTGAAGCAGAGATCGGACTGATGCCCCTCCATTTGCATTTCTTGGTTCCTTTAAGGAAGCCAGGCAAACAAACGTGGCCCTTTCTTAAGTTTGAAGGATACAAGACAAATAAGGTAAATGGGGACTCTGGTTCCTGAACCTTCATGATCTGGCTCCTGGCTCTCTATTCTGAAGGTGGCTTTTGACAAAGGGCAGGTATCCTTGGTCCAAGGGCCACACTAATTGATTTTACGGAGGCCTGGGATCCCCAGGGATCTTAAAATCTACCCAAGAATGAAGCAAATCATTGTCCAGGGATAGGACAAAGCTATGAGCTGTAGTTCGGGAAAATATTCCAGTGAAGGGATGCTCTTGGTCATCGCCAAGGAGCCCGTTGTCCTGTCACCCCTAGAGCTTTCCCGCATTGCATTTCCTCTTCCAAAACAATCTGTTGCTGGCCTCCCTCTGCCACTCTGAGCCCACAGCTAGCCGGTCAATACCTCTCAGCCTACACCAGCCCAGCATCTTCATTCAACCTGCACTTTTCTGCCCCTTGTGCCTCAGCAGCGCTCAGGCAGCGTAATGGACTGCACCGGCCGCCTGTCGACTTACCCTGAGCCAAGTGCTTCCTCTGGATCAGACCTGTGTCCTCTGGGTGTCGGCCGGCCAGGATGCGAGGTACTGTGCCTTGCCGGACTCCTCTTTCCCAGCGCGCAAACAGCAGCCGCCTGGGACAGCCTGGGGCCTCTGGGCTGACGGGTAGGCGGGCAGATGAGCACAGGGAAAGGGGCGGGGTGTAGAGAGGAGCGCAAGTACTGACTCCTACCTTGGCTTCCCCTTTGGATACTCAGTTATTCCCAAACTTCCCTGTAACAGATCAGCCCTCCTCACCTTTCACCTTCGCCAGTGCCCCGAAACTCTTTGCTCTACCAGTGTCCCTGCCCTGTTCTCCCAGCTCTCTAACCCAACCTGAGCTCCTTCAAGCGCACACACTCCCTTCATGCAGCCAGCTACACACAATAAGATCTAGGGAAGAAACTGACACAGGGAAACTAACAGGGGTAGCTGACACTGTAGTATGAAGGAGAGGGAGAAGGAGGCAGGAAGGGAGAGATGCAGAGAGAGGGGAGAGAAAAGAGAAAGAGAGAGAGCGAGCGAGCGGCATTCACACTCTTACCTGCACACTCAAGCTCCAGCTGTTAGGTAGCGGCTGGCAGGAACGCTGGCCACCCCATCCAAATCCCTTTCTACACTAGAGGTTTCTATCCCCTTCTGCTGCCTTTTCTGGAATATGCTATACAGGGAAGGGGAGAGGAAAGCAAAGAGGGGTAGGGAGGGGAAAATCGAGGAGGCACGCTCCCTTTCTTCTCCCCACCCCTATCTCCAAAAATGTTCAACCCTGATCTCTTCCTTTTCCCTTCTTTCTGCGCCGGGCTTCCCCCTGCTCCTGTTCTTTTCCTCCCTTTGGGGTGGCTAAGAGCTGCGGACAGCCTGTCTCGGTTGTGATGTGGGGGGTGTGTGTGTGTGCGTGTGTGTGTGTGTGTGTGTGTGTGAGAGAGAGAGAGAGAGAGAGAGAGAGAGAGAGAGAAAGAGAGAGAGACAGAGAGAGACAGAGAGATTGAGACAACCCTGGTAGGCAGGCGAAAGCACCCCTCACCTCCCCCAGCCCCGAAGCCTCTCTCAATCTCCCGGATCTCCCGGCAAAAGGCTGTGGCAGATGGGGTGGGGCGGGGGAGGCGGGGACCGGGGACGGGGGAGGGAAAGAGGGAAGACGGGGCAGGCGGCACGGGCAGCAGCTCCTGCCTTCTCTGCAGCTCAGAGGCCAGGGGTGGAAGGAAGCCGCAGCCGCAGCCCCAGGTCAACCCCTGCTGCCCCGTCCCACCATCTCATCTCTCCCCCCTCGGTACGGAATTTTCTGTTCTGTCTCCTTCGTTGGCTTCCCCAGACCTTCCCCTCCCCTGGGTGGTGGCAGAGACCGGAGGGGAGGTGGGAGGCTAAGCGCGGGCGGGGATAGAGGGGACAGGAGCCCCTCGGATCCTCTGGCTAGCAGAATCTCTCTTTGCTCCTTGACTTGAGTATCTCCTGGTTTGGGCAGTGACCTTTGCCCACCACCCTCAGCCTGGGCTCTGGGCCGGTGGTGACCAGGCTGCTCCGGGGACCGCAGGTCATTCCGGGGGAAGGGGAGTTGAACCGGCAAGAGCGCAGGCAGGTGGCTGGTTGCGCAGTGGGACAGCGGGGCACTGAGTCTCCAGAAACTGACCCGGGGTCCTATCCGGTGAGCTTCGATCCCTGATAGATCTAGTTTAATCTATTTGGAGCTACCTAATTCTCCCATCCGTGCCCCTCTCACCCATAGGATCGGTTTCCCAAGATCCAGCCTAGACTGATGCAGGGAGGGATAGTGATATTGTAGGATGGGGGATTAAGTTGCTTAGTGGTGTCTGTGATTGGGGGAGAGGGGCGTTATCACCGGACACTTGGGTGACTCTTTGATCTTTAAGCCTTCCTTTCACGGGAAGCACCTCTGCATTTCCATCTTTCTCCCTATACCCTGGCGCCCAGAATGTCCACCCTCTTAAACCTAACTGGAAGGGACTAAATAGCCCCACCCCCGCCACAAACCTGAGACTTCTACCTGCAACCTGCAGGCGTGTAGGTCCGCTAGCTGGCAGTATCTCATGGCCCGGCTGCACAGCCCCAAATCTCGGCTTTGTCTTTTATCTCCCTTCCTCACTCTTTCAGGAAAGCGGCAAGTGAGTCTGCCTTTCTGGACGCTGGGCTGGTACCTGAAACCCTTTTCCCTACCCATTGTCAGAACAATCCCTAGCTCTGAGAAAGCTCCACTGTACTTCCTGCTGCTCTTTAACCCCCTCTGCATGCCCTGGGAGCCTAAGTCTAAGCTCCAGAAAAAGCCAGAACCATCTCCCTTGCCTAAATGGCCGAGTGTTTTCATTGCAGAGCCTGTGAAGCTGGTATTAGTTATGTTTACTGCAAGCCTTAGGCACTCTCCTCCTAGCTTACCTTGGAAAAGTCGTTTGGACCAAGCAAGACAAATTTTCCCGTTGTCCTTAATCCTCCTAGTCCTGAGGGGTCCAATATTCTAGAGAGTATTTAGCTTTTGGATGGGAGCAAGGCATTGGAGAAAAGAAAATGATTACCATGGGGGATGAAGAGTTTGTGTCGATAGGGAGGAGTGTCGGGAGGGAGAAGTGAGGGTGGAGCTCCCACCTCCTTACAGCTTAAATACTTGTGGAAGTGTTTCTCAAGATTGGCAAAGAGGGTCACTGAAAAAAAAAAAAAAATCACTTGATTCTTTGCCTTTCATTCAAAGACAGTTTGCTGTGAACCAGCAAACTAATATACCCAAACAAATAATACACCCAAACTAATATCCCAAACAAGGGAGGTCTATGTTGTGATTGAGCCGTCTTCCCTTTGGCATGAGGGTGAGTAGAATATGTGACTGTGGATAAAACTTTGGGGGCATTTCCCTTTCTGTAGCCAAACTGCAGTCCAGCTGAGACTTCCACTTCAAGCCCAGATGCAACCAGAAGCAGTGCTCAGGGATAGTGAAATCCTTATTCTTGTGAGCTCTTTCCTTCAAAGGCTCTATATACAGTGCAATTGTCATTAACATATGAGGATTATGTGTGCTTCTGAAGTTTGGTGCTTTCCAGTGGACTGTGGATAAGGCTAAAATTTCTTTTTCTGCTCCTGCCCTCTCCTTCTAACCTCTTCAAGGATATATAAAGAAAAATTATTTTAAAAGTTAAAAGTGCCATACAAATGCCAGGCATTACTATATGAATTCCATAACAAACCTAGCATAGTATCTCCTAGTGCAATTAGATAGCTGACTTAGGCAGGGACCCAAGCTTTGTCTAGGTGGCTTGTCAGCCTTGGGGCTGGGTGGCTCATCTTCTCTGTCAATAGGGAAATATTCTGGTTTTCCACTTGGTGGCTGAGAGTGTATATCTCTCAGGGTAGTGTGCAACTAGAGACTACATCTGCAAAAGTGGTTCAAAGCCAAAAATGAAAGCAACTATCTGAATAACTTAAGCTTGGAACTACCTAGCTTCTAGGCTAGGTTTACTCACATGGCCTGGCCTATTCAGATACCATGACAGATATGACTGTCAAAATGCAATTGAGACACACTCTTTTCTACTCTCTTCTTAACAGCCTTGACCATAGTTTTGAATGGTATATATAGGCCAGAGTTTAATGTAATATCATAGGTGAAGAGAAACTGTTATGAGGAACCCAGAGAGGGGTTTTCCCAGTCATTAAGCAGGGCTTCTCAACCTTGATGCTATTGATATTTTAGGCCAGATTATTCCTTTGGTGGGGGGCTGTCCTGTAGCAACTCCACTAGAGTCCAGTAGCAACCCAAACCCCATATGTGACAACCAAAAATGTGTTCAGGCATGGCCAAATGTCCACTGGTGGGCAAAATTACTCCTTCCCCATCCAGAATGACTGCAATTTAAGGTAGTGTCACTTTTCAAAGACCATATTTTAACCTTCTTTCTACCCATATGGCGTGTCCAGGCTTTGCATTATACAAAGTCTCAGAAAATATTGAATATTTTGTCAGGAAACAACATAAAAAGGAACCATCACAAGTTAGTTAAGTTTTGATAAATGGTAGAATTCATTGTTATCAACATTACCATCTTCTGGCTACCATCAAATTCTTGTCAAGCACACACTATGAGTAGGGTATTCATTATAGCAAAGATCTATAAGGCATAATTCCAGCCTTCATATGCTAAGAAACTGTTGACAAAGAGTTACTGATTTTCACAGAAAACCAATTTCTGGATTGAATCCAACTTGGCTTTTTACCTCTTCTGTTTCCTATTTGTCCCCCAACAGTGACTTATTCTTTGAAGTTCTGCCTTAGAGAGATTGCATTTTGTCTTGCTAATTACCATAGCCCTACAACAATTTTTTTGTGACTTCTCCACATGTAGCATTTGTGTCATAACAATGTACCCAGCGTAAAAATGACCTCAACATCACAAAGGCTGTAACAAATTGAGCAAATTCGAAGGCGGGATTTTTGTTTTCAAGGACAGTTTCTAAGTACTTGCGTGGTAGAGAAATACTCAACAATGGCAAAAGCAAAAGAAATGGAATGTAAAAAGAGAGGATTCTTAAAATACTGTGGAGTGTTGAAAAAATTTGTCAGTGTGATTATGGGTTTTAACACTCAGCACTATCTCTACCCCAGGAAGTCAAACAATACTAATGCAAGTTGTAGGATTTTTACTAGGAATTCAGCAAAGGAAAACGCAGGAGGAAGCGTTGAAGATCTGTTCAAATCAGCTGACTAAGCTCCTGCCTTAGAAAGTAAGTTTCCAGTGAGCCAGGCAAGACTGCATCAGTGTTATTTGCTTTGAATAATTCCTAGCCCAATACCACACATATATATATAGCAATATGTCACTTGAAAAACTAATGCAGCGACCGAGAATTAGCACATTCAAACTTTACACATTTATAAATTATGATGCTATTGCCAAGACTAATTATTTATTTAAATAAAAGTTTTGCCTGAATTGAGATCATGAATGACTGTAATTGAAAAATTATTTTCATTTTTCAAGAGAACATTTGAACTATTATTTCAGAATGGGATCCCTATAATCAAGGGATAAGGCCTTACATTAATTAATGATTAATCTTAATAAAAGACATGTAAATGGAGCTACACTTCATGTATTAACTATGGACTTTGCTGTTCCCACCAATAATAGCAATGCAAATGGGGCCAGCTCTGAGCAAATTTACAAAGTATAGTTCAATCATAGGATATTGCAGAATATTGTACCATTGAGAAGCACCTTGCCTGAGGTTAGAGGAAAGTGACAGAGAAGGCTCCAATTGTGTCTTGCTGGTCTGTGACTGACTCTGTGGGATCTCAGGAAGAGTAGGTTAATTTTTACACTGCTTGCCCCCTTCCCAGCTTGTTAAAAACTAGCCCTCATGGAATGATATCATTTGTCCTAATCACTATACTAGTGTGTTCCCTCTCCTAGGAGTAGATAGGTCTTCAGCCTTTTTCTCCAGTTGTGGGGGAAAAGGCTCTCTCTCTTTAATAAAAAGATTTCAAGCATGAGGGAACATGTATGTCCTTGGGATGAGGACTTCCTGAAGCTCGTAAAAATTACCCCAACTGCAGATCATGTTTTGTAAAATCTGTGGAGGAGGACCATGAAAGTTTGTTTTCCCCATTTCAAGAATAGGCAATTTTTGATATCAGAGAGGGCTTGGTGCAAAAATTAAATTTTAATTTCAGCATTTTTCTCTGGAAAATGTGTCATTGTGAAGGAGTAGTTGGTGAGCCATGC